ACCAGAGAGGAACCCGAGAAACCTCCGGCCAGTCCCCCGCCACTGCCCTCTCTCGGCCCCACCCGGCCCACCTTACAGGGTGGCTGTTCTTGTCGTGCGGGGGAGGGGGATGTATCCCGGCACGAGCCTCCTCCTCCTCCTCCGCGGCGCCTCCCGGAGCTCACGCTGACCGCCTTCCAGCGGTTCTGGGCACCTCGCAGCTGCCTCTGCACATGCCCAGCTGGTGGCAGTCTCTGGGGGAAGCTGGTAAGAGGCAGTGCTTCTTCCCAGCATGGAACTTCCTGGTGCCCGGGCACTGACTCAGCTGAGTCAGCTTTTTCAGCTGAGGGGAGGCACAAGGCGGGCCCGCCAGCAGTCTCTGAGGGGAAGGCGGGAAGCAGAGCTGCTTCTGGGCGGCGTGTGGGCTTTTGGTGAGGGTGGGGCCAGCCAGTCAGAAGAACTCAGAGGCAGTGGCGACGGTCACCTGGTGGTCAGGGAAGCCACTAGGCTTTTGGTGGGTGCTGGGGGGCTTTGGCGGGGAAGCGGGTCCTTTTTGGCACCCCTAGGGCCAGCCCACGCTCTAGGCGAATGCCTAGTTCGCCTAGCGGGTGAGCCGGCCCTGACAGCTCATGAAACCCATGTGGGATTCATTCCCACCCACACATCCTATTGGGTTAAATGGGGGTGGGTGGGATATTTGACTTGGAAGCACAGAAGTTTTATGCAGTGTTCCCAATCCTCCATGTTTCCCAGTTAAGGGGAGAATGCTGTTCAAACAAATTACAAAGATAATTTTGCTCCAATGGTAACAAGAGAAATTTCACTTACAAAAATACAAGGAAATCGTACAAGACATATTCATGGAGGCACATTTGTGAACAGATTAACTTCAGAAAGGTTGACTTGCTACAGCTCTAAGCCCAGGTAAGAGAGAGAAGAAGAGAGGTCCTATATAAGACAAAAAACAAAACAGAAGGCAAGCAAGGGCAGAAGAGGCTCAACATCTAAGGATGAGAGGGTAGGAGTGGGACCAACTGCCGAGTGTTCCGGAGTGGACTTTCTTAACCCTTTCCCTCCCAGATCCTATTGCATGCAAAGTTACAATATCCAACACATCCCTGTCCCAGAAAGGGTTCCCTGAAGAAGAGGTAAAGATCTGTGCCTATTTCCACCACAGTTCAAGACCCCCCACAAAAACATAAACAACACTCGGGAAAGTACTTGCACAAACATTGTGAACAAGTGAAGAACAGCGAATTCACAAACTAGTCAGACAACAGTCTCCAGGGAAGGGCAGGGGATGAAACAGCAATTGGACTGGATTTGTTAGAGAGACAGAAGGAAAGTTGGTACGTGGAAAAGAGCTAGGAAATTAAACATTTCAGTGGCAATGAACAGCGTGGGATAAAAATCAGGGTAGGGACTATGTAGTTTCAAGTTAATATATTTATTTTATACCTTGCCTTTCTCTCCAGTGGGGAAGAAAAGTGGCTTACAGTGGTTTTCCTCTCCTCCATTCTGTCCTCACAACAACCCGGGGGGGGGGGGGTTAGGCTGAGAGGGCGTGACTGGCCCAAGGTCACCCAGCTGGCTTCCATGGCAGAGTGGGGACTTCTGGTTATGCCAGATTCTAGTCCAGCACTCTAACCACTGCACCAAACTGGCTTGTTAACAGACAAGTGTGTTAGAGGAGCAAGCAGAGGGAAAAGGGGTCCAGAAGTAAAGAGATAATATATTTTTTTTCCCCATTCTTGGCCTCCCCTGCTGATAGCCCTGGCCTTGTGGTCAGCGGCTTGAATCCAACAACATCACTCAGAAGGTTCCATCCAAGCGTCGCTATGGAGGCAACTTTCACCTTGGTTCTCTGTTATTTTTTTTTAATTTTAACTCTCTGAATGTATATATAGTGTCTAAATTTGATGTTGCCTATTACCATGAGGTTTTTAGGTGACCTTGTAAACAGCCCTGAGCCCACTTGTGGGGAGGGCGGGATACAAATGGAAGAAGATACGGGGCTTTTTTTGTAGAAAAAGCCCAGCAGGAACTCATTAGAATAATAGGCCACACCCAACAGCAGAAACCCATTAGCATATTAGGCCACACCCTAACAGTGCAGTTCATTAGCATATTAGGCCATACACCCATGCCTCCCTGATCCTTCAAGGGCCCCCCCGGCCCCCCTGCCTCAGAGTCGCTGGGGGGGGGTCGTCGCTCTCCAGGCCTTCCCTCTGTAGCCACGCACATGCAGAGGTTTTGGCTGTAGTGGGCGTGGCCAATTCTGAAGCCAGCCGGAACTCCGTTCCTGTGTGTTCCTGCTCAAAAATAGCCCTGAGAAGATAAATAAAATAAATAAAAATACATAATATTTAGATAGATAAGCCCTGACCTGGATGACCCCGGCTAGCCCGATCTCGTCAGCTCTTGGAAGCTAAAGCAGGGTTGGCCCTGGTCAGTCCTGGGAGAGGAGACCAAGCCCAGGGTGCCGACACAGAGGCAGGCAACGACAGGACACCTCTGAGTGTTTCTTGCCTTGAAAGCCCTAAATTGGCTGTGGCTCGAATGCAAATTAAAAAGAGACCGAGCAAGAGAATGGAGACATGGGGAAATCAAGAGAAGGCCTTTAACCAGAATATATATTCATATAAACCAGGATATATACCTGGATTTCAGTAAAGCTGCATGCCAAGCGGATGCTCTATCACTGAGCCACAGCCCCTCCTCAAACTCTATTGCACCGTTCATTGGACGTCCCATCCTGTTTATTGTACTTGACTGACACTATGGAATCCGCCTTGAATCTCAAGGAGAAAGGCAGGCTATAAGTAATCTAAATGAATGAATGAATACATAAATAAAATGAATCAAGGTGATTTTTGCCAATCCCCCCCATTGTGGCAGAACTCTGATTCAACAGTGTCCTAAGCAATGCTCCCTCTAAGCTGTGGAGTCTTGTGAGCAAAAATTCTACTTTGTGAGCTACTGGCATTGAAGTTGTGAGTGAGCAATTTGGCTGCTGCATAAATTAGTTTGCTCTGGAGCCATCCTTCCTGAGCTAAGACAAAAATGTGTGAGCTGGAGGCTAAAATACTGTGAGCTAGCTCATGCTAACTCAGCTTAGAGGGAACACCGGTCCTAAGTTATAATGGGGGGGGGGAATCCTGTGAACTGTAACTGCTGATCACCTAACACGGATCAATAAAGTTAGGATTCCCCTACAACTGAACCACATTTTCCCCGCCATCTAATGTTTCAGCCAAGTTTCACACCACAGGCATTCCTATACACCAACCACCCTTATAGTTTTACTCCTGTGTGGATTCTCTGGTGTTTACGGAAACCAGAAAAACTACAGAAACTTTTTTCACACTCGGCGCATTCATATGGTTTCTCTCCTGTGTGGGTTCTCTGGTGCCCAATGAGGGAGGCCCTCTGGCTGAAACTTTTGTCACAGTCTGTGCATTTATGCGGCTTCTCTCGCGTGTGGATTGACTCGTGTCTTAGAAGGTCCGAGGGCTGAGAGAACCATTTCCCACACTGCGAGCACTGGTACGGCTTCTCTCCTGTGTGTAGCTTCTTATGTCGGACTAGGTTTGGAGCATAACCAAACCGTTTCCCGCATTTCAAGCACTCATACGGTTTCTCTCCTGTGTGGGCTCGCCTGTGCGTAATAAGTGACTGTTTATCACAGAAGCTTTTGCCGCAGTCTGAACACTGGTGCGGTCTCTCTCCCGTGTGGGTTCTCTCATGAATGAGAAGGGATCCTTTCCAACTGAAGTTTTTGCCACATTCCGAGCATGTGTACGGTTTCTCCCCTGTGTGTGTTCTTTTGTGCATAATGAGGGATTTCTTATCACACAAGTGTTTGCCACACTCTGAGCACTGATACGGCTTTTCCCCTGAGTGCAGTTTTTTGTGCCTTGCCAGGTTCGGGGCATAGCCAAACCGTTTCCCGCACTCGGAACATTCAAACGGTTTCTCTCCCGTGTGGGCTCTCTGGTGAGTGCTGAGGGAATTTTTGTCACAGAACCCTTTGCCGCAATCTGCACAGGTGTGTGATTTCTCTCCTGTGTGGGATCGCTTGTGTCTCCAAAGGACAGAGCGCTGTGAGAAGCTTTTCCCACACTGCGAGCAACTGTACGGTTTCTCCCCCGTGTGTATCATCTGATGCTTTCTGAGGCATGAGGGGTCACTGAAGCTTTTCCCACACTCAGAGCAGCCGTACAATCTGTTTCCCATGTTGGCCTTTTCACAATTGACAATGTGTATTCTTTGACCGAGTCTCTGCTCACAATCCAAACATTCGTGTGATTCCTGTCCCATGTGGGTTGTCAGGTGCATAATAAGGTGAGATGTGTTAGCGAAGTTTTCCCCACAATGTGTGCATGTGGGCAGCTTCTCTTTACTCGGTGTTTCCTCAGCTACTATGAGTTGTGGTTGACTCTTCTGGATCTCCTCTTGGAAGGCAGTTTTACAGATGCCTCTCTCAGCATCCCTGCAAAGAAAGTTCTGTTTTGTCATCTTCCTCACACGGCTACCCTGGGGACTTTCTGAGCCCTGCCGAATACCAGACTTTTCAGCCGCTTGGGAAAAAGTCCCTTTGGGTCTTCCAAGGAACATTTTACTGATCTCCCCTTGCTCAGGTTGTTCCAGCCGAAAGGTCCTCTTCCACAAATGTTCATCAGCTCCTGGCACAGAAAAAACATATGAGTCATACAAGACAGAACCTTTAAAGAGCTCAGGCTGTGGTATCTCCAGTAGGTGATGTGAAAGACCTCTGCCTGAGACCCTGGAGAGCCACTGCTGGTCTGAGTAGACAGTACTGACTTTGATGGACCAAGAGGTCTGATTTCAGTGTAAGGCAGCTTCATGTGTAGCCAATAAAGTGAAGTGCATCTCTTTTAAAAAAAATCTTATTTTTTAAAATATATCAATATATGATCCTGCCTTATGCCAAGTCAGGTAAGGAGGGATTTCCCTATTGCTGGTGATAATTTAACTCAAGATGCCAAGGATGGAACCTGAAATGTCTGCATGCAAAGGAAGTACTCAACCCTCTGAACTAGGGTCTCTTTCCTACTGAGCTCCTTAAAAGCTTTGTAATTCTGTTGAAAATATTTATACACTGATTTTTAAAGATGAATCCTCTCAGCTGCTTACAATATTAAAATATCAATGAGAGTACATAACATCCTGGGCTCACTAGACAGAGAGTTCCACCAGGTAGGGGCCATGGCTGAAAAGGCCCTGTTCCTAGTAAGATAGCCAGATCACTTTCAGCCCAGGGATCACTGGTTGTCATTGGCTGAGCATAGAGCTCTTTGGGGGATGTACCAGGAGAGGCTGTCCCACAGATGTGCTGGCCCCAGACCATTTAGGGCTTTAAAGGTCAGTACAATACTGGCAGGCAGATCTTCGCGAAGCAACACCATCTTATCTGCAAAAACCTCACAAAAGCCTCGCAGCTAACATCCAATTCACTAACATTTTGGGTCCTCTCAGTTAAGGAGGTTAGTAATCTATTTATTCTAAAGCAGAAGAAGAAGCGATTGGATTTATACCCCACCATTCACCCAGAGTCTCAGAGTGGCTTACAAACTCTCCCTTCCCCTCCCCACAACAGACACCCTGTGAGGTAGGTGGGGCTGAGAAAGCTCTGACTATGGCTTGCCCAAGGTCATCCAGCAGCTGCAAGTGGAGGAGTGGGGAATCAAACCTGGTTCTCCCACATTAGAGTCCGTGCACTTAACCACTACACCAAACTGGCTCTCTAAACAATTGTACCGGGAGTGAGCTTGTGGATGTGATGGAGGCTGCACAGAATTCCTTCTCTGCGGTCTTCACCGCCACCTCATAGGCTTTCATAAGCATCCTATAAGATGTTCTTGCTGCTTCATCATAAGATCATCTCCAAACTCACGCTAGCCCTCTCAGCTTCTGGTTCATCCAGGGGCAGAGAGGACGTTGGGGTGTGTGTGGCAATTTCGTCAATGGCTTCAGAGAAACAGAGATTCTAGTCTATCAGCTCATCTAATGAGTCACCAGGGGGCATCGGATCCCAGGGAGCATTCTGGAACCCAAATGGGCCCATAAGTCTCTGCGGGCCAGCCTAAATCAGCTTGTCCCCTATGCAGGTGGGGGATGGGATGCTCAAATGGGCCTTCAGGGCAACATGATCTGACCATGATGCGTCTTCTTTAGTTATCCGATCTACATCAACTCCTGCACCAAAGATCAGATCCGATGTGTGGCCTGATTGGTGTGAGAGACCTGATACAATCTGGGAGAATCCCAGCGTTGCCATGGAGAACACCAGGTCCTTGGTTTGTGTCGCTGCGACCTTGTCAGCATGGGCGCTGAAGTCTCCCAAGACAAGACTGTTGGTCTTAAAGGTGCCACTGGTCTCAAACTTTGTTCTGCTACTTCAAACCAACACAGCTACTCACCTGAAAGTTTTATTCAGACAGGGATCAGAGAGTCAGTGGGGTGTAGCAGTCAAGAGTGTTGAACTAGGATCTGGGAGATCTGGGTTCGAATCCCTACTCTGCTATGGAAGCTTGCTGGGGGATCTGGGGCCAGTTGCACAGGCTTAGCCTCACTTACCTCTCAGGGTTGTCGTGAGGACAAAACAGCGGAGAACAATCTAACCTGCTTTGGATCCCCACTGAGGAGAAAGGTGGGTATAAATGAAGTAAAAAAAAAAATCACACCTCATTAAAAGCCCAAATAAAAAACAACTCTCACCTAGTTCTTAAAAGCCATAACAGATGGCACTAGGCGGATAGACAAGGAGGAGTTCCTCAGATGGGGTGTTCAGGAAGGCCCCATACGTGGTAGACAGCCACCTTGCCTCCCAAGATGGGGGACCCCAAACCAGGACCCCTAATGCGAATCGTAACAATTGGGTATGGGAGCAGGTGATCACTTCAGATACTCTGGCCACAGGTGGTTTAGGATTCAGGCCCTAACTCTTACCCAGAATTCTCTCCTCCACATCACCCTCTGGCTTGGTTTCCATGGAGAACTGTGTCTTCATGACATCAGACAGATCCTGCTCAGATTTAGGGGAATGAACAGTCACTTCCTCCACAGGCCCCAGTATCTGAAACACAAAGGAAAAAGAGTCCTCAGGCGCAGTCGGGACTGGATTGCCTGCTCCATTCCCCAAAGGCAGGGCCTGTAATGATAATATTTACAAAGCCCTTTTGAACATTCAAAACATGTAATATTTGTTGGAGTGATCATGCGTTGACATTGGGAGGCCCTACATCATTCTAAGTGTGTATAAGCGTTATGTCCTTGAATAGGATGCCTCTCTTTGTCTTCACCTGGGAGCTGCCCTCTGACTCCTCCTCTCCCTCTCTTCACATGGCCTTCCATGGAGACAGATGTCTCTGCAGGTCTCTCTTGTAGAGACAAGGCCCTCATACTCCCACGCACATGATGCTGGACAAACTGGCCATTCGTGATAGGAAAAGTACCCTTTAGATTAGCTTTCTCCCTCTCTTTTTGACGGCAACCTGAATGTGAACTGAATCTACTTGAATAAATGTAAATTTGCCTTTATTGCAATATACTTCTTGGGGGATTATTTACTGCACGCAGTGTCAAGCTTCTATGACTGTGCAAAAACTCAGCTATGTTAACTAAATTTCCCAGCAATCTTACATTAGGAAACCTTGGAACGAGCCAACAAGATGGGCTGTTGTGGCTGAATATTTCAGCTGTTATTCAGCAGATCAGAGGCTGATGTTTAACTATGATCACTTACAACCGGGTTGCTTACCTAAGATAAAATTAATTAATTACCATTTCCAGAAATCTTACATTTAAGGACATAAGAAGAGCCTTGCTAGATGAGACCACTGGTCCATCTAGTCCAGCCTCCCGTCTCACACAGTGGCCAACCAGTTCCTCTGGGCATAGAGGCTGAGGCCTTCGCCTGATGTTGCCTCCTGGCTCTGGGATTCAGAAGTTTAGTACCTCTGAATGTGGAGGTTCCCCTCAGCCACCATAGCTGGTAGCCACTGATAGACAAGGATTTATGAATCCATGAATCTATCTAATCCCCTTTTAAAGAACAACAAAAGGAGCTAGAAACTTCCATAAAATAAATGAAAGCTGACAATTCAGAGAACCTTACACACAGATCAGTATAACATTACATAACATTAAAATGCTTTTACAATATGTAATGACTGATTTACCCCACCCCACCCCAAAAAAACCTGACAAAGCCCCCCAGTGGTGCTCCAGGGAGGGATGGCCATTGCAAGGGACTGGGGCAGGGAAAATGCAGGAAGACTAGGGCTGCTAAACCCTGGTGGAGACAGGGTATCAGCCATCCTCAAGGCCCTGTTGCCTGTTGCTGCTGGAAGCAGGAGGAGGAGCAAAAGTAAAAAGAAAAATAAGGCCTCATCTACTTATAGGAAGTTCTTCCATAGATTTCCTGGCAATTCCTAGAGCTACTCAGAAGTGATAAAGGGTAGCTCTAGGAATTGCCAGAAACTGTATGGTAAGAACTGGTTTTACCATAGCGTTTCCAGTAATTTCTAGATTCCTTGTCTGTCCCCCCTGGGCATGGCTCAGTGGTTAAACATCAGCTTGGCATGCAGAAGGACTCAGGTTCAATCCCCGACATCTCCTGTTAACATGATCAAGTAGTTGGTGACATGAAAGACCTCCCTCTGAGTCCCTGGAGAGCCACTGCCAGTCTGAGTAGACAATACTGGCCTTGATGGACCAAGGGTCTGATTCAGTATAAGGCAGCTTCATGTGTTCATGTGAAAACCAAATACACACATCATCTCAATTCATTATGAGAACCAAGAATGGAACCTCCATGTACAGTGGCAATATACCTTTGCCCTACCAGACACTGAGGGCCAAGAATGGGGGGTTGGTACCCTCATACCTTGCCTGTAGGCTTTTTGGCTAGTCACCTCCTGAAACGAGATGTTGGGTAGAGGAATCTTTATAGCAATCCCACAGGTCTTTTCTTCCAAGCGCCCAAAAGGCTGGGCCAAGTAATTTTCTCCCTTACCCCACTCCTTTCTGAAGAGGACCCAAACATCAGGGAGGGGCTGAGGCTCAGTGGTAGGACATCTGCTAGGCATGCAGACGGTCCCAGGCCCAATCCCTGGCATCTCCAGTTAAAAGAACTGGCCAGTAGATGATGTGAAAGACCTCTGCCTGAGGCCCTGGAGAGCTGCTGCCTGTCTGAGTAGTCAATATTGACTTTAACGGACCAAGGGTCTGATTAATTATAAGGCAGCTTCCTATTTGTTCAATAGGGTTACCAGCTGCTGATCAGCTGGCCGACAGGGAAGACTTATCAGGAAAAAGAGGAAGGCCCAGACCATGTCTTTGCACAGGAAGTGACATAATCATGTCAGTAATGTCGGGGTGATGCTCTGGTATTTGGGCACAAACTCTATGGTAGAAGCTGTTTTTACCATAGAGTTTTTGCCCAAATACCTGTGTTGCTCAGATGTCACTGGCATGATGATATCATTTCCTGTGCAATTCCAGTGACATGGCCTGGGCTTTCCTCTTTCTCCTGGTAAGTCTCCCTCACCCCCTGCCGGTTGGCAGGAGAGAGAAAATGGCTGCTTTGAAGGGGGGACTCTGTGCATTAGGACCTCTTGAGATTGCTCCTCTCCCTAAACCGCGGCCTCCCCAGACCCCACCCCCAAAATCTCCAGGTATTTCCCAACACTAGTCAGGCAACCCCCACTTTCCTACATTCGCAACACAATGGCCATCCTTTCCCCCTCAGGACCTCTCTCACCTCCTCCTCCTGTTTTTCATCTTCTTCCTGCCTTAGCAAGAAACCCTCGACCAGGGCCACCGCCTGGGTGCAGGTCTCTGGATTACATTCCCTGACCCAGCTCTGCGTTTCCTGGGGCAAGATAACCACAAATTGCTCGAGGATCAGGAGCTCCAGAATTCTCTCCTTGGTGTGCTGCTCAGGCTTCAGCCACTGATGGCAAAGCTCCCGGAGCTGCCCACAGACCTCTCGGGGACTCTCCATCTCCTGGTAGCGGAACTGCCTGAACCGCTGGCGTTGCGTCTCCAGGTTGCCCTCTTCCTCTTCCAAAATCTCTCCCTTCACTTCCACAGAAGAAATGAGGCCTTCTTGGGCTTCTTCAGGGAGTCCTGGTAAAATTTGGGCTGCAGGCGCTCCTTTAAGCCGTCGTTTGGCACAAGTTACTCCCTTGAAAGATACCAGGAAGTCCTGGGTGTCCTCCTCCGACCAGGCCGGAGCTGACTGGTGGCACTCTCGTCCCGAGTGTGGAAGCTGCATAGTCTTCAGGAACTCCCGCCACTGGGATTCCCACTGCTGCAGCCCCCCCTCTTGCTTGATGGGCTGTGGGGCAGACCCAGGCAGAAACTCCTGGATGGTTCCCACCTGGGCAACATGAGGGTCCTTTCCTTCTACTTTCAGTGACTCCTCTGATTTGGGCCCTGAAGAGACCCGGCCCTCCATTTTTTATTCCTAGCAGCAGCTTCTGGATTAGAAAAGAAATCCCAATTAAAAGAGAAACAAGGGCTCCAGTCACACGGGCAGGAAAATGCGGGGGGGAAGCGTAGCTGTTAGCCCCGGGGCAAAATAAGGCGCGGTTGCGCGATCAGACGTCTCCTGGAGGTCCCGTAAAGGTCCCGTGTATAGGGGGGAGGTGCCGATCACATGACCATGCGGCAAAGAAGCGGCTGAAACGGACTACATGTCCCAGAAGGGCACTCGGTGGGAGAAGGGAGAAAGGGACGTGGCCAAGGGGTGGGGAAGAAGGAGCTTGAGTCCTGACAATGAAACCGAAAGGCAAGTCTCCCGGAGGGGGGGGGGTCGCTGCTCTGGGCGACTCTGAGCTGCCTTCTGTGCGGCTCCTGGGGACGGTTGGACAAGCGGTTGCCTCTTCACCTTCCTCCAGGGCAAACGGGTTTTTCCCCCTGTACACTGAAGTATGCGCATGCTCCGTTGGGTGCTTGTGCGCATCCATGGAGACTTGGGGGGGGAAAGCTTTTTGCGAGGGGACATGGGCGGGCGCCGGAAGCCACCAGAAACGCGATCAGATGCCTGCCCTTGCCCCGCGGTTTCCGGAAACTAGTACCTCCGAGGTACTAGTTTTTTGCTGCGCGTCTTCGGCGGGAAGCCTCGGGTGACCCACGGGAGCGCTACGCTTCCCAGATGTGCCGGTGAGATAACGCCCGGAAAATCCACCTATCTTCCATCTCTGTAGTGTGGCTAATGTTCCAAGACTACTTTTAATATATATGTATTATAGCTCTTTTAAGACATTTGTTGTAAATTCAGAGGTGAGGGGCCTGTGGCTGCTAAGGCCAGGGCCTGCATTGTTGTGAAATAGGGTTTCCAGGTACCCCCGTCCACCAGTGGAGGATGGGGGGAGGTAAAGTTGCCAGATCTAGGTTGAGAAACCCCTGGAAATTTGGGCATGGAGCCTGAGGAGGACAGGGACCTCAGTGGGGTACACTACCACAGAATGTCAGGAACCAAAAGCTTGAGCGACTAGAAAATAAAATAAAATATAAATATGTATTACACAGTGCACAGAATCTTAGTATTAAAAATGTCCCACACAGGATACCACTAAACACTCCGGTCATAATATACAGCAACAAGGTGAAGTTGCACTTCCAACAACAAAGAATCAAAACAATGGCAACACGTGTATTTTAACCAAAGGACCCAAAGAACATGTTTCAGCCCAAAGGAACTTCTTTAGACACAAAACTGTAACAATGTCATTATAAAATATAGAACATTTTTTCAGGTGTGGTTGGTAGTGTATGAGTTCTGAAATTAATAAAAGATACTGATGTAATAAAATCATATACTGCCTTATCTCAAAAAGAATGTTTTTAAAAAATATATTCATACAGAATGGTAGCTACTTACACTAAAAAAGTGAAGCTCCTAGCAATGGTCTTCTTAAGTCAATTCTGTATATACTGAGGAGCCTTCAGTCCATTGGAACCACCATTCTATAAATGAAATCAATGGCATAACATGAATGCATAGCTGGATTAAAATATTAAGTAACATTGCATATGCTCCAATAAAAGTATTTCTAGAAGTTTGCACATACAGTTCTGTTCTGGGCCATAATTCAGTTCCCAGAGTGTGTTCATGTGTGAAACAGATGCCAGATGTTAAAAGAAGGTGTAATATAGGTGCAATCCTAACCAATTATGCAATGCAGCTTCAAATGTTAGAAGGGAGGGCTAGAGAAGGGAAGGGAGGGGAGGGGAAAACATAGAAGGAGGGGGAGGGAGAGAGGGGTATCTAACTGTCTGAATGGTCGAAGATGGTGGTGGGGGAATTGTATATAACATTATGGGTGATGAAACATAAAGAGCATATAAAAAACCAGAACTAACATAACCAGTCAATCTCTTCATTTAATCCATGTGGCGACAGGGTGCCCAAAGTGGAAATCCAGAAAGTTTCTTTTCAGTAGAAGCTGGTGTGGAGGAGCTGAAACTTGTTTTTTTTTTTCTTTTGGCTTTTTCTAGTACAATACCAGAGACTCCACCCTCTAAAGCATTGATTTTCTCCAGGGGTACTGATCTCTGTAGTCTGGGGATGAGTCGTAATTCCAGGGGGCCCCTTAGGTCCCACCTGGAGCCTGGCTTCCCTATTTTCAAGCCTTGATTAGGAACTGAATTCCCTGTTACCTTTCCTACCTGGCACTGTTGTGGCATCAGTTAAGAATGGTTTTAAGGGCTCAGGCTTTTCAGAGGGCTGTGGTGGGAAGTACCGTCAAGTCCCATCTAACATACGGCAAGTCCCAACTAACATATGGTTTTCAAGACAAGAGGTTATGCCAATAAAAGTTATTGGAATTGGAATTTCAAGGCAAGAGAGGAACAGAGGTGGCTTGCCACTGCCTGCCTCTGCATATCAACTTTGGGCTTCCTGGGTGGTTTCCCATCCAAGTACTAACCATGGCCAACCCGGCTTAGATTCCAAGATCAGACTAGCCTGAGGCACCCAGGGCATGGCAAGTGGTTAGCTGACCGAATTAATTAATTAATTGGACTATCCCTGTTGCATTATTTTAAATGTACCCTGGCCTGAGTCGCCGCAAGAAAGGTAGACTAGAAATGAAGCACACAAATAAATATTTGCTGTCAACCCTGACCAGCACTGCTGATTTGCTTGTTCTCCCCATCTCCGTTTTATCCTCACAACGACACCCCCCCGTGAGGCCAAGAAAGAGGGTGACCTGGGGAGCTTCCGTGGCAGAGCGGGGTGTGTGTGTGTGTGTGGAGGAGGGGAGAATCATGTTCTGAGCCACTTTGCGTTCCTTTCAGGCAGAAAAAGCAGGGTATAAATACCTAGGATAAAATTAATCAATTAAAATTTCCAGAAATCTTACATATAAGAATATAAAAAGGGCCTTGCTAGATGAGACCAGTGGTCCATTGAGTCCAGCATCCTGTCTCACACAGTAGCCACCCAGTTCCTCTGGAGGGCCAACAACAGGCCATAGAGGCCGAGGCCTTCCCCTGAGGTTGCCTCTTGGCACTGGGAGTCAGAGGTTCACTGCCTCTGATTGTGGAGGTTCCCTTTAGTCACCATGGCCGGTAGACTTATTCTCCATTAATCATTTCTAACCGCTAGCAGGGGTCCTTTCGTAGAAAAGAGGTGCAGGAGCTCATTAGCATAACTTATTTGCATATGCCACACCCCCTGTCATCACCAGAAGCGTGTCAGAAGGCAACACCCACCGCTCAGGCTCCACTGGACTGTTTTGGATTGCTAGCTTTTTTTTTGGGGGGGACGTGCAAATTTGTCCTTGCAGAGGAGGGAGAGCTTGTACCTGAATAAAACTTGGTCTTAAAGGCGCCACTGGAGTGTTTTGGACCGGGGGGCAGGGGGGGGCTCTCCAACTTACCTGGCTGCTTCTTGCTCTGACTGAGGGCTGTGGGAGCAGGGGGTGGGGCTTGTTGCATGTGCCCACCCCTTGGGCTCTTTACTGCCAGAGCTCCGCTCGTGTGCGCTCCGGCAGGAAATGACCCCTGACCACTAGTATGAGAAACGGGGGGGAGGGGGGAATCATGCCACCCAAGTCAGTCAACAGAACCAAAATCAAACGGGCCTGAATGAAGCCTCATCTGGCACTGTCAGGGTTCGACAGTCAGATCACACCACACAGCGCTTCACAAGAAGAATTCTGTTTATTGGTAGTTCATAACTATGACACGTGAACTTCTTTTGTCAGGAATGGCCCAAAGCAGCAGGGCACCCTGAATTACACTAGTTTCAAAACACTCCCGTTACAAGCAGAAGCCAATAAGCGCTGTGCGCGTGCGCGCAGAAAAGAGAGCGGGTAAAACAGAGCCCTTTGTTCCCAGCTAGTCAGGAGCAGCTGGAATACCCAAGGTCAGAAAAGCAAAAGCAGTTAACAATCCAGACAGCAGACATCGTTAGTGTACCAGGCAGAGGAGAGGAGGATCTCCCCCCCCACCACATATTCCAAAGAATGGCAGTGTTAACTGACAGGCACTTGAAAGATTGAACACTTCTTGGCCTCTATCCTGGGGACACATGCGCACACACACCAGAAAGGCCCAAAAACAAAGAACAACCTATTTAAAATTCGTTTCAGACGGCAGCCATGCCAGGTCTCCAGCAGAACAGTTAAACTCGAGTCCAGGAGCAAGTTAGAGGCCAAGAAGATTTCCAGGGTAGAAGCTTTTGAGAGCCCATTCCTAGTTGTGTCTGCCGAAGGGGGCATTGACTCTCAAAATATTCTACCCTGAAAATAAGAACATAAGAACATAAGAGACGCCAATGTTGGATCAGGCCAAAGGCCCATCCAGTCCAACACTGTGTCACACAGTGGCCAAAAGTAGCAGGTGCCATCAGGAGGTCCACCAGTGGGGCCAGGACATTAGGAGCCCTCCCACTGTTGATCCCCCCCAAGCACCAAGAAGACAGAGCATCACTTGCCCCAGAGCCCCTATCTATACCTTGTGGCTAATAGCCACTGATGGACCTCTGCTCCATATGCCTATCTAATTCCCTCTTGAAGCCGTCCATGCTTGTAGCCGCCACCACTTCCTGTGGCAGTGAATTCCAAGTGTTAATCACTCTTTGGGTGAAGAAGTACTTCCTTTTATCCATTCTAACTAGGGTTACCAAATGTGCCCGGGGGGCGGGTAACCCCCCG